GGTTATTTTTCGTAATTTCGTTCTGAAATTCATGCCCTGCTCAAAATAGCTGATGGATAATTAGATCTTTTTAATTAAATCCGATATTAAATCATCATAAAATGAAATAAAATGAAAGTTCAAATATTAGATTGTCACATTTTAAAATTTCTACCTATTGGAAATTTTTCTTTAAATTAAATTAACTTAAATTATTTAATTTTTCTGTCATTTGTGGTTGTACCAGGCCGCCGAAATTAAAATCGCCAATAAAAGCCGAAGTAGAACAATTTACAAAACCAAAAACTCTTAATTAAAATAAAATTGACAGAAGGGGGTTTAAATATTTCAAGAAGCAAGATTACAATTGGAAAATACATAAAAATTACAACTGGAATACTGCAAAGTACCAAGTCTCACACATCCGTCCACAACTCCACTGGTATATATAGAAGCTAGCAATGCTTGATGTTGGATCAGCAAGGAGGAAAATCATGGGCTAGTGGTTGAGTGAGGTGGAGAGAGGGAAGGGATGGGGATGACTTTTGGAAAGGAAGGGATGGTGGGCAATGTGGGCTTTGGCAGACCGGGGACCTCCGGCACCGGCGGCAATTCAGGCTTTGGCAAGGTTGGGATTTGGGGCAACTCAGGCTTTGGGAAGGTTGGAACTTGGGGCAGTGGAGGCAGTTGAGGTTTAGGGAAAGCTGTTGGGATGGTGGGAAGAGGTGGGAATTCCGGCTTGGGAAGTCCTGCTGCAGTAGGAATTGTAGGCAAAGTTGTGTCAAGAAGTCGGCGATCTGCAAGGACATGGCTGCTCAGCAATGACAATGTGACGAGCAACAGAGGTAGAACAAAGGATGGGCACCGGAGATAAGCCATGGCTATTCGATGAAGATAAAAGCTGCTTAAGAGAGTTAGACAAAAGCAAGTTTGATTGAAGCTTTGAGCTTTGGATTGCATGCATGAGCCAGCGCCATTTGGCTTTTATAGAGAGAGAGGGAGAAAAGAGTACTGGGCTGAGGGAAGGAACGAAGAGGTCGATGTGGGGTTGTTGGAGAGGGTTGTGCTTTGCTACTTGGTAGCTCATCCCCTCGACCTATCAAATCTCAATGCCACTTCTTTTATTTTTTTGGTTAGTAGATCAAAATTTTGCAAATGTATAACAAGTACACATCTCTCTCTTTTTTTTTGCTCTAAAATCTGTATATATCAGATATAATTTATTTTATGTGTTTGCTTCCCGGGCGTTTATGGATTGGCCGTTTATGTATACTTTTTCACTTTAAATATTTATGTATACTTTTGACTTTAAACGTTTTTTACTTTAAACATTTCTTATTTTTGTTGTTTGGTTGAGCTTTACTTTAAACATTTTTTACTCTCCACCTAAGATTAATACCCATTAAAGTGTGTCACATCAGCATTTCGTTTCAAGAAAGGCCGGGGCGTTGGAGGAAACAAGAATTTGACGTTTCTCCAAATGCCGCATACACAAAAATCAAAGCATTTCAGTTTTTTACCATTTATTTGATAAATAGTGAAACCAAACAATTGTTTCATTTTGCTTCATCTGCAATAAACGCCAACACTTATGTGGTGCTGATGTGGCACCGTTTTTTCAATAAACGCCCACAAAACCAAACACTTGTCAAAGCTAAGAGAAATTGAAGTATTGATGATATGGTTTAATTGATTAGTTCATACTACAATCTACCAAGCGGCAGTGTTGTACTTGTCCTAAAGAGCTATTAGAGTGGTTTTGTCACAATAGACCTATTCATGGGTCGGGTAGCCTGACGGGCTGGCCTGGCCCAACCTGTTATTAAGTCAAGCTTGTTCATAATTTTAGGCCCGCGGTCTCAAGCTCGGGCCGAGCTCGGGCTTTCTCAAAAAAGCCCAAGCCCAACTTGATACAATATATTAAATAATAAAAATATATTTTATTTAATAGTATATATATATACAATATTTTTTTCTTTGTTCTTCTTCTCTTTTTTTCCAAGTAATAGTGAGATGTTTATTATTTTTGAGTTTTGAAGGTTTTTAATATAAATAAAACACTTTTTTATTGAATAAAAAAAGAAAAAAAAAATCTGTTTCAAATTTTTGGCCAGGCTCGGGCTCGGGCTCGGGCTCGAGCTCAAGCCTGAATGTATTCTACTAATACATATACAAAGCCCAGCCCAACCCATGAGTAGGTCTAGTCACCAACCTCAACCTTGTTTGCTTAATGGTTGTGAGGAATTTTAAGATGGAATATATGGGTCCATATATCATATATCAAGATTAGGGGTGGATTCAGGCCGAGCTGCGCCGAATAGTACTCGGCTCGAGTCAAAAATTCATAAGCTCGAGCTCGGCTCGAGACTATTCTACATGGCTCAAGTTCGACTCGAGTAAAAAATTCACAAGCTCGAGCTCGGCTCGGCTTGGCTCAACTCAAGCTCGATTTTTGAGAAAAAATGTTTTATAAAAATAAAAATTTATATATAAAAATATTTTTTATTTGATATTTAAAAATTAAGAATTATAATATTTTTATTATATATATCATTTTCTATAATTTTATTATTATATATATATATATATTCGAGTCGGCTCGCGAGCCTCACGAGCCGAGCTCTAGTAGGCTCAAGCTCGGCTCGTTTCATAATCAAGCCAATGAATTGGGCTCGAGCTCAGCTCGAAGCTCAGTTGAAACCGAGCTGAGTCGAGCTTGAGTAACTCGTGAAAAGCTCAGCTCGTTGCCACCCCTAATCAAGATGGATGGCCTAACCTTGACTGATTTAGCAATTGGATTTTCCCAATGAAAGTATTCAATTGTTAGATATTGTACAAAGATTTAATCTATACTACTATCAAAAATATGAATGAGAGTTTGGAACTTTTGTTTAACTCAAATATCCCTCTTTCTGAACTTGGTCTCTGTCTAACTGTGAGGGTAAAAAATATAATTTCAACTACTACTTTTCATATTATTTAATTCCCCTCGTTAAGTCTTTTATTTAAGATATTAACTCCAATCATCTTTCATTGAATGCTTTCCTTTGCTAAAACGCCCTTATCTTTTAATTTGGTCCCTCTCTAATTGTGAGGGAAAAAATGTAATTTGAACTAATCTTTACCTCTTTCAATTCCCTCTCTTTAAGTCTTATATTTAAAGCATTAAATCCTATATTTGAACTAATTTTTTAATTAATAAATTCTATAGTTATTTTCTTTGCTTCAAATAAAGTATGTCATCTATATCCGATGCTTTTAACAATTAATATAAAACCCATGTTTAAAACCGACCTAAAAATATAAGAATTAACAAGAATGATAAATAAGAATTATTTTTAAACACAAAAATATAAAAATTATTGAAGGTTTTGGAAATATATTTTTATTATTATCATCTAAAATTATCACATACAAAACACATTCTCATTTACTAATCTCTTTAATTAATGGTGTTAAAATGCATAATGCATAATGGTGTTAAAACTTCGATTTTTTTTTTTTTTTGGTAGAAAGAGGAAACTTAGATTTGAACTGCACAAATAAAAGTCTCAATTCAAGAATTGAGTCTTGAATAATTGGAATAATTGGGTCTTTTTCTAAGAATATGTACCTTTGCTTACGGTTCAAAGTCAAAACTGATAAAAAGAAGGATCATGTACTTGAAAACATTCAAAATGCAAGATTTTAATTGGTCAAGGGTCAGATAGAAATCTCAAATCTGAATTCGAATGAACTATTCTCATAGTCTGTTCGGTTCAGACAGAAATCTGAATGGAAATTGAATAGTTAGAATGGGATTTCATTCGAATGGCCAATCCTTCTAATGGAGGAATGTCATTCCAGTAGGAATGAAAATGGAATTTCGATTCCACTCAACCAAAAAGTTAGCCCCTATTCCTGCAAACCAAATGGGCTCTAAAAATATTCAAAGTGGATATTGGATGTTTGATGTCGCCACCATTTTATTGCATTCTTCCAAAACCCTCACCATTCAAAAAAAGGAAAAAAAAGGGAAAGATTCGATTGAAGACTGAATTTATGGATTTTGTGTTGAAAATTAAATGCAAGGGATGAAAAGATTTCATTAAGGCTGCTTTTTTTTCTCTCGTTTAGGCTGCGTTTATTTTGATGAAAGGGCAAAAACCAAAGTAGTTTTCGTAAAAGGGGTGAAAATGGATATAGCTGAATTAAATAACTCATATTTGAATCTGGAAAGCCCACTTAAGTTAACGATAATGAATTAAGTAACTTACAATAATCTTAGACTACTTTAACCCTAGTATTTCATTGTTATATATCTCTTTATTTGTCTCATTGTCTGTTCCCATTAGTTTGAAGCCGTAACTGTATCATTCCTTTTGATCATTTTATATGATCCCTTTGATTAATAGAAATCGTTTTGATTGATCCAACCATTTTCTCTAGAAAAAAAATTGATAAAAAGTTTTGCCCTATCCAACCATGCATTGAACAACATAGTTTGTCCTATAATATTCTGATTCCTTCCAAGTGTTGAGAAGAGTTTCTCATCACATTAACTATGAGACGGCCGGCCAATTTTAGTTATTTTGTGTTCTCATGAAATAAGCATTCCATGATTCGTCACCTCATTCCAAGCAATGGTTAAGCATTTATATATGTGGAAGCAAAAGCCAAAGGAAAAAACCCGTCATACTGTTATAAAATATATATATATGTTCTTTCTTTCTAAAAGCTATATATGAAAATACAAGTTAATGCACTCCAATACAGCCAATCTCACACTGTCAGACCAACAACTATTACAGCAATAGCATATATATATATATATATATATATATATATATATATATATATATAGTAGCTGTATTGAGAGGACAAAGATCCCACCCACTAAGAATGCAACCAGTTTGATCCCAACACAGTATCGCCGCTAACATAGTACTAGCTAGATATATAGATGAATGCGTAATGCCAACCATCCTATCTGCACGAAGAAACATGATCACGATGTAGGATGGATGAAGGAACGAGTGCAATTAAGGGTTAGATGTTGAATAGGGTGGGGAGAGGGAAGGGATGGGTATGTCCTTGGGCAGTTCAGGCAGTTTTGGCAACGTCGGAAAATGTGGAAGAGGTGGCAACTCCGCCTTGGGCAGTGGTGGAAGTTCAGGCTTAGGCAGACTAGGAACCTCAGGCACAGGCGGCAGTTCAGGCTTTGGCAGAGTGGGCAACTCAGGCTTTGGTAAAGGTGGAAATTCAGGTTTAGGGATGGTGGGGATAGTGGGTAGAGGTGGCAATTCAGGCTTCGGAAGTTCTGGCACCGCCGGCGATGGTGTCTCCTCAAGAAGTTGACGAGCTGCAAAAGCTACTTCATTGCTCCTCAATGACAAAGTTATCAGTAACAGCGGTAAGAGAAGTTGTGGGTATTGGTGATTAGCCATGGCTGCAGAACAAGAGCTTGAGACACCTTAAGATTGCTACTGCAATTGGTGATTTAAGGCTTTGAGGTGGGTTGCAGGAATGAGGTTATTGGCTTTTTATAGATAGAGGAGTACAGAAGTACGGGAAGGGAGGTGGCGTCTAGGAATGATCAAAATTGACCTTGGTAAGGTTGGTGGGGAAGATTTGGGTTGTTGGTTGAACCTCTCTAGCTATCACTAGCGCACAGATATCAGACGTTCAAGTCTTGGCTGGTAGTACTTGTTATTTGAAAACTGGAGATTGGCATGTATGGTTGTTAAGAAAAGGAGACTTCTTTCTGTGAAGTGGATATCTCATCTCATGTCTAAAGTCTTAACATGTGTACTTATACGAAACCTTAATAATCAAAGAACCAAACTTAGAGACAGTTCATTAAACTTGGGTCGGCTTAATTAGGTCTATCATTCTCGATGAATATCGAAACTCGAAAGTCCAGACTGCTTGATCAATTAACATAAGTAAGCCTGTAAATTTTTATGTACGATCAGGTATGTTATTTTGGGGTTACGGATTTTTGGAATTAGGATCTGCTCCTCACATTGCGCATCTCACACAATCTCACAGTCACATCCCACCCTATAATGGGAATATCTTTCCATGAAAAATAAATTCAAGGACAAAAGATGTTTCCAATGTGTTGCCAGGACATGCTGTGAGGTGTGCATTGTGAGGAGCAGATCTGGACTCCTATTTTTGTACTCAATGCTAGTCCTTCCTTTAGTATAAATGTATAATTATTATCCAAGGGGCAGAGTCAGGATTTTTTTGTTGGGTGGCCAAAAGTTAATAAATATGAATTGGGGGGAATATATTAATAAGCATAGATAGGGAGGTAGAATATAAGGTGGGATATAAATGGGTGTGGGGGATTGCCTACCAAAATTGAAAAAAAAAAAAAAAAGAAATTTGTATATATGTGGATTGGTCCAAAATGATATTCCCCTTTAGTGCCTCTTGATGTGACCATGGAAGATTGAATGTGGCCATCAGATTGATATCGTCGTCGTCATTGTCCAAATTAAACTAACTTAAATCCTGTTTGGTCATTCTATATTCTATTTAATGTCATATCTATTGTTTAATTATTGGCACTTAAATCATTTATAAATTGATTAAAATGTATGTGACCGTCATATGATATTTATTTAAAATTTATATATTGCTTTATGTAATTAAAGGCATGCATTCAGCATTCTAGACCCACCATTGGTAACAAATTAACAGTGGTGATCGTTTGAATACTCATAGTGTACCGTACTTGGCCGTAAGGTTTTCTTCACCTTCACTGACATTTGCCTTATTTTCTCTTTCCTTCCCATGATTCTTCTTCGTGAGAAACAGATTAATCTTAAGGCATAGATAATTGCACTTATCTGTCTTGAATCCCCCTACCTTAGGCCCCAAGGATTGTTGCTCTCATTAATACACAAGCTATTGCGAGAACCTTAATTTCTGATGATAGGTGAATTTGTAGTTTAATTAAAAATTACAACTAATTAATAATTTTTTGATGGATTAATCAACGAGATAATAAATATCATGGCGATCACAATCTGCCTAATCTTAACTGGTAGAGAAAGAAAAAAAGGCAGCAATGTGTAGCTTGAGCTTCTACCACGGCGGTACTATTTTGTTCGCCCCCTACCCCTTGAGAGGCAGAAATGTGTTTGAATCTTCTACTGGAACTGGATAATACTGAATCAATGATGATACACCATGTTAGCCTGGTGTGTGAGACTTATATGTATGGAATTGAGTAGCCCAGATTTGAACTCGGTAGCAGTACATTGTAGAAATGCCATTACAACTTAGAAAGATGGAATTCATTGCAACTTCCTCTGCAAAATAAGATGAGATCACATTTCCTACTACCATGGTCACAGGACAATCTGGAGACCCCCCAATGAAATGCAAACACGCCAGTGAGACATCACACCAACTCGTGTTTGGTTTAAAACACTAGCTTCATGTTCACATTTCACTGAGGGACCAGGGTTGCTTGCAACCAGTCACAAGAAATCTTTGATCAAATAGGGCCGTGCCCCTTCAAAATTTTAACAAAGCCTGCACAAATTACAGCACCAATTCACTACCTATTTCTTTGTCAACCATGCCTAGTTGCTTCGTAATTACATGCGTGGAGGAATTGCAGTAAATTGTTGAGGTAGTATAGTAGACGTGAATGCAGGAATGACAGAATGAGGTGCCATCAGAGAAAAAAAAAATGCTGATATGATGAAGCCCTAGAGAAAGTTAAAATGAGAGAATGACTGATAATCAATCAAAACCCAAAACAATATTGCATAGCCTCTGATTAGGGCATGACAAATGACTCTCAAGTAGAACTAATCTCAATCACCATTAAGCCATAACTACAACAATAACAATGTATAGGGTCATGGTCATTGGTCAACTGTGCCAAAGGGGCATGATAGGTCATGGCCATGGTCACATGACGCTATGTCACGGGGTTAATCGATGAAGCCCCGTGCGGCGCTCGATGAGGTCGAAAAAGCCTACGAATGCAAGCAACAATACACAAAAGGCAACAAGAACGCACACAGATTAGACAAAAGGTAATTTGTATTGCATTAATAAGTGGTAAGCACAAGCACACAGTACAGTGTCGAGGGGATCTCGTGCTTAACCTTTACACACTTATGAATTCACTCGACTACCTACCTCCCCTCAAAGAGTACATTAAGCTTTTGGGGGAGTGACAACAGGAAACATTAAGAGGATGAAAAATCATACTATGTATTTACAATAACGCCCTTGGCGGTCCCCCCTTACAAAATACATGAGTAGCCCACCCTAGACACACATGCTGACACCTTGAAGGCACGCGATTGGCACTCTGATGGCTCATGGTAGGTGCTTGATGGCACGGCGAAGGAGTCACTCGTGACATTCTCCCCCACTCAATTCGATCTACGTCCTCAGAGATCGGCTTCGGCTGGTCCCTTAGAGTCACTGTTGCGGAAGGAAGGTTCTTCTACTGCTCCCGAACCGATTGTCGTCCAAGGCCGAGGTGTATAGTTTGGTAGCATGGTTGGGTTGGCCTATTATGTTGGGGTTTCCTATGGCTAAGTCCTTTCCTAGCAGCCTCAAGGTATGTTAATGGCTGATTCATCTTGGTTATTGGGTAGGTTTGGGCTAGGTAAGGGTCAAACTGATGTTTTGGATTGCTGGGGTGTTGGTTCCCATGAATTTTTCCCCAAGGGTGACTCACAAGGCTACTACGTGATTCAGTCTGAGGGATGGTGCGAAARTGGTYCCTAGGYGGCTTGGGTGGCACTCGCTTTCCCCTGTGGTTGTGGTAGTAGGTGATGTTAAACTTGGACACGGCCTTGGGTCTTCTACTTTGCTTGATGGTTGTCGACGCGCACGAACTCTGTTGCTGGAGAGGTGTAGACGGCTGGATGGCCTGCTGCTGCTGTAGTTGTTGGCTTGAGGGGCGGCTTCTTTAGCTAGTGGAGTGGGGAACTTCTCTGCTTCCTTCATGTTGGCGTTGACCAAGGCTTCTCCATGAAAAAGTTGTAGTGCAGAAACTTGCTTCCCATGAACCCTAGTAGAAGCAACAACTGGTACCATGCAAGGGGAGCGTTCGTCCAAGATGCACAGAGAGTTGATATGAGGCAAGAGTGCTGCTTCGGCTTGTCTCATGAAGTCCATTCCCAAGATAACTCGGAAGTCATCCAGGGGTACCACTGAAAGATTAATCTTGCCTGTCTACGGCCCAACTTGGAGGTCAACCCCACGAGCCATGCCTTCAATCGCCTTTGCCCCGGAGTTCACGGCCTTGAGCCACCCTGTCTCTTTCACAGTGTTCAAATTGAGTCACTTGGCCTCGACAACTGAAATGAAGTTGTGGGAGGCCCCTGTATCAACAAGGGCTTGAGTCGGCTTCCCGCCGATGATGATGTCTACATACTTCAGCCCCCTTTGGGCTTTCTTTGGCCTTCCATGATTGGCCTCTTTGTTCACCATGGCGTTGAAGAGTTGAAGGGCGCCCACTCTTGGCGCCTGCACAGACTTTTCCTCATCACTTTGCTCATCATCATTGAGCTTGGCAACAAGGGCATTGATCTTCTTCTTGGTTGGGCAGTTGCGAACCAAGTGATTTCCCCCACAAAGGAAGCAAGAAATTGGGGACCCAGCGGTTCTGGGCTTGTAATGGTGCTGAGGGCCTTGCTCTCCTTGTGGCTTCTTCCCATAGTCTTGTCTTGCTGGCTTGTTGAAGCTGGAGTTGTCGTACGAAGGGCGTGGGCGACTTGCTCCCCCACTCAAATTAGGGGAATGCGGACTTTCTGGCTTAGGGGCTTCTTCATCTGACAAGCTGGTCTCATTGAGTTGCTCCGCCACTGCCATTGCCGAGGCGAGGTCCTGTATGTTGTGGCGTTGGAGTTCTAGTTCGGCCCATGGCTTCAGTCCATCCATGAAGTTGAACAGTAGATCCTTGTCGGACATGTCCRTGATCTCCAAGGTAAGGGCTGAAAACTCTTTAACATAATCATAGAGTGAGTCCACATGCTTGAGTGCTTTCAACTTCTTTCGCGCCAGGTACTCCACGTTTTCTGGGTGAAATTGCCGCTTTAGTTCTTGCTTGAAATCAGCCCATGTCTTAATGGTGCACGTACCCCGTTCAATGTCTTGGCATCGCCTGTGCCACCATAGCATAGCAATATCAGTCAAATACATGATAACCGTACGAATTTGCATTAGGTCCTCATCAATGCCAGCGGCATGGAAATATTGTTCCATTTGCCACAAAAAGTTGTCAAGTTCTTTCGCATCTCGGGAGCCGGCATAAGGTGTGGGCTCCCGAATCTTCACACGAGTAGGGGCCAGTGTTGTGGAGGGGCTTGGAGCGCTGGCTACTAATCTCTTGAAGAGTGTCATGTCTCCTCTTAATTCGTCCATTTGAGTCTGGAGGTCAAAAGGAGAGGCCATGGCTACTTTCATGGCCATCCATTCAGCTCTCATCTCATCCACYTRGTCTTRGATGTCGGATCGAGATGAGCTCCCTTCTTGTCGGGATTTTGTTCCAAGGACTTCCTTAAGGGTTCTATTCAGGACGTCTTGGACCTCGTTCATAATGCCATTTAAGCGGGCTTCTAGCTCCACCACGGAGCTCTCAATTGTTTCCACATTCAGGTGGATTTCCTCTACTCGGTCACGCATCTCCCCAACAGCCACTTCACAGCGAAGGATGCGTGTGTCGAAGGCAGCAAGCGTGTCAACTGACTTGTCAAGCTTGCTTGTCTTGGATGTGCGACCCCTCGGGGCCTTCTCTACTGAGACTTCATCGCCTAGAGCCTCATCGGTCTCTCTCGCATGGGCAAGGCCATGCCYAATCTCGTCGGTGAGTTCCTTATTGTGCTTCATTGTGCCACCACTAGTGTTGCTGTGCAAGGGTCACGAGCGTTGAGGAGCAACCTACTCTGATACCAACTGTCACGGGGTTAATCGACGAGGCTCTGTGCGGCGCTCGATGGGGTCGAGAAAGCCTACGAATGCAAGCAACAACACACAAAAGGCAACAAGAACGCACATAGATTAGACAAAAGGTAACTTGTATTGCATTAATAAGTGATAAACACAAGCACACAGTACAGTGTCGAGGGAATCTCGTGCTTAACCTTTACACGCTTATGAACTCACTCGACTACCTACCTCCCCTCAAAGAGTACGTTAAGCTTTTGGGGGAGTAACAACAGAAAACATAAAAAGGATGAAAAATCATACTATGTATTTACAATAACGCCCTTGGCGGTCCCCCCTTACAAAATACATGAGTAGCCCACCCTAGACACACATGCTGACACCTTGAAGGCACACGGTTGGCACTCTGATGGCTCATGGTAGGTGCTTGATGGCGTGGCGAAGGAGTCACTCGTGACAGCTCAGCATAATAAGGCCACGACATGGTCAGTGACTTTCTATGGACATTTCTCTCAGGAAATATAATTTGATTTGGCGATCTTTAATGATGAATGAATTTGCCTTTGGACTTTAAAAACAAAAAGAGAGGATTATATTTGCACCAAGAAAATGTTACAAATGTATTTGTAGGATACTCGGCACATGACAACTCAAGGGCTAGTAATCAAGTCAAGTTATCTCAATGTGAAGTAGTGCACCAAACTAAGAAAGCAGATGAATCACATATTAACGCAGGTTCTGCAGCTAGCCACCATGCATCTAAGTGGAAGAGTTAGCAGTGTCACGTAGTAAGTAGGAGCCTTTAGTTGGGCCATAAAGCTTAACCAAAAACAAACTGAGCTTAATGTACATGTACTTTCAAATTGTAGCCGAGAGAACAGCTCTTTGTCAACTTTTCCAACTCTGATGTAAATTAATGGCCCTATGCGGAAGGGAGAAATGGCCAGAAGACAACAGAAAAGGGAAGGGGGAAAACACCAAAAAACAAAAAAAAACAAAAAAATCAACAAATCATATACGAGCAACATATGAATTTGCCTGTGTCACATATCTTACCCATCGATATGGGTTGTAGGTCTTGGATTTCTTTGCTATCTGCAGGTATCTTACCTGCACAAATTTAGAAACAAAAGTGAGCATTTCAATACACGTGCAGAGAAAAAATAAGTACAAAAAAAAATATTCATAAGGTACTTCAGCACAATTGAAACACTTTCTTCTGGTAATCAATTGGGATCAAATGATTTCAATAACAAATACTTCTACATGCCCCAAGCGAAAGCAAAGCCATTGCCTCATCATGGACAGCAATATGGATGAATTTTGCCAAAGGAATGCCAGAAATAAAAAAATCTATAATTACATCCATACAAATAGCACCGAAAAAAATACATATCCAAAAAAACTAGTGAAGGGTGTGTGCATGGGCATATAATTCCAACAGCATTAAAGTCTAGATCCTCTAATCTTAGGATTTGAACCAGTATTTATATCATACCCTACAACTAGGGTCATGCTTTGACAAACAGATATTCTGTTCCATAAAGTTGTAAATAGTAAAAGCACCTCAAAATATCTATATGAAAGCAAAACATTTGGAGACGTGGATGTCCACTTTTGCTGGAAATGGCGTCCAATGTGTGAAGCACATAGACATGCTAAGGTGTTTATGAAACAGATTTTCGTAGTCACATCATGCAAGTAAAAGATTCTGAAATTACTAGATAAAAAGTTAAAATACATTTAATGGCAAATCCCGAATCTATGTTGTACAAGATGCTGGTTAGTTATAGTGGCCCGGGCTGCATGATCCCACAGCCCCCATACAGAGGAGTTCAAATCACATGAACAACATTTGCCAAGAAAAACTCTCTGTTTCTTTCTTTTGAAATAAAAAGTGTCATCCTCCATAAAATTCATTCTCATATGCTCAGGCCCCTATGGTGCCACCATGAATGACATCAATAGACTATGGCAAGATCCAATCAGACAAACACAATAAAAGGATTTCACTGCCACATGGCCATTCTGAAAACTGTTGTCATATGTGAAGATGCATATTCTAGAGTCCGATAGCCAAGAGACTACTTCACCTGAAGCCTGGAAGCATTGTACATTGGTATGGTGAAGGTCATGCTTACTGGTCCAGCTTCCCTTGTGATATTTGCTATGTTGAGAAACAAATGCCGACCAATAATTTGCAAGAAAAAAAGGTCAAATTAACATTATGAACGTATCTATTAAACGAAGTCTGTGACTAATAACATGGAGTTGTCAGAAACGAGTCATACCATGTGATTCCTGTGAAAATGTGAGCTTTGCACGTAGAGTATGCTCTGATCCACCAACAATCTGGAAAAATATTGAATTTAATATTTAAAACAGTAGAAAGATCAAAGCTTGTTACAACTCATATTGATCCCCTTCAATAATCTAACCACTTGTTGAAAAGAAATAACGGCCACACACACACTTGCCTTTTTTAAGCCCCATTCAAGCCTCTTGTTTGCTTCCTTAAAGTCAGTTGTATTTCCAACTGCTCCAGGTTCCAACTCGAAACTAACCCTGCAGATTTTTTTAATACAAAAGAATCAAATTAGTTTAGTAAGATAAACAAAACTCAACATATTTTTCTTGCAAAACCAGAAAACCTCGTGCATTTCTTTCTCTTAAATAAATAATCACTTCTGTCAACCTTTGTCAAATTCAAAAGATGTAAGTTGATGCTCTGCACTTTATTCTGATGAAACCAGTATGATTGCATGTTTGGATCTATTGATTGTGGAATGGCGAATTGCACAGGATACCTAGGACTTCCTTTTTGTATTCAAAATGGAATGGCAGCTACCACTTTTTCCCCTATTTGATAGTTGAGCAGTGGCCAAGAACACAAATGTCAAAGGACAAGTATAATGGTCTAACACCTCCTTTGATGTTTTGTGGGGTTTATGGAAGAAGAATAGGACATTTAAATTGCAGTAAAGACCTAGCCACTAAATCTGAAAGTATATATTTTCATGCATTTTGATGTTAGATTTGGTATTGAAAGAGTTCAAGAACATTACAGCCAGGTTGATATTAGAAGAAAATGGGATGAGATGGTCAATCATTAAGCAAAGTCCTTCATCTTTATGTATACGAGAGGGATTTGGGGTTTTATAGTATTTTTTAAAAACATCTTTTGTTTACTTCTTGCAATCATTATGATTTACATCTTTATACAGTTTTATTATAAATCTCTTATAATCTACCAAAATAAGAAAACAAATGAATATTTGAAGGACCAACAATACAAAGACAATAGGATGAAACAAGGAGTCAGGACTTCACGCACAAAGCACTTCTTGACCAAAGTGGAGCAGGTGGTGGGAGTACCAGCAAGGGACCACCAAATTTACAAAGCTCCCAAGTCATTAAAAAGACAATGGTTAATGACATCACTGGTAAGTACACGGTTACATTGCACAAGCATTTTCATCATCCAAGGAAAAAACTTTCCTATTATAGAAGGCTTCTATTTTATTTGTTTATCTTTAACCAATGACAAAGGAGGAAAATGTAACAGAAAGATCAAATTAACAAAGAATATCCCAGCACAGACTATGATTGGTAAACACCTTGCCTAGCAAGGTTATCAACTACATGCAGAACTAGAAACCAATATCAACAAGATGTACAACCTGGGTGTGCCAAATAATAGGTAGGTCTTTCAATGAAATGAGCCAAGTGCTACATGCCTTCAGCCATGTCCCCATGAATCTCTCTACACTATCCCCTTGAACCCAAATATAACCGTAACCTCTAACCAAGGTAAACTAGGATAGCTAGGCAACAAGGTGCCCTAGCAGGGTTGCCATATGTGCACTCCATTAGGTATTTAAATATGGAACTCAGCTAGGCAGCAATGAGGGCACACCTAAGTATTTTGCTAATCTTTGTAGTTTGATTTTATTCCCAGGGTTTTATGCTCATTAAAATTAACATTTCATTAACAAGAAATTTAAAAAAAATCAGTTCTTGTTTCTAATGTTCTTCCATTTCCATAAACTAAGCTTTAAGCTTTAAGAACTGTTTTACATACATGCCTGTCTGCATGATAAACTTTCAAGTTGATTAAAAAAGATTATTACCCAATGTTGGTCCCAGCCATCTGGGGTCCTGGTAGGGGTAGACTGGGTATGGTCCTAACCTTTGGCTTTTTATGCAAAAAGTGGCCACCCTCAGACCCAAACCCATGTCCTCTCACTTGCCAGCCCAAGAATTTACAATTTCATCAAGTAACAAACCCTGTAAACTTGCAAGTTGGTTACTAATGTTAAAAAGATAAAAAATTTATGCAACTTAGTATCCCTTACTCAAAAAGATCCAAATAATGAAGAAACATAGTAAACTGTATTGTCAAACTTGGTTTAAAAACTAGCCTGAGGAATGGTTTTAAACTTCCAAAGAAGTTTATTTAGTCGAAGTATTTTCCACAAATTTTGGTCAAATTTCAGTAAGTTTTTGGTCGTTTAGTGAAAATAGTATACCACATCAAAATACATGATTTCAATTGAAAAGTGAAAGCATGTGAACTGAAACTGTAAAAAACAAAGACAAAAAACATAATTTAGAAAGAAATGTCTTTGCATCCAAAATAATAGAAAAGGGGCAGGTTCTATATGAAACTTAAGAAAACAACAGGTTAAAATAAAAATATTTGAAAATCTCAGATGAGCATAAACAAACGTTTCTTGTTTTATTTAATATATAAGATGAATTACCTTATGATCATTGCTATGAACTGGTTTATTTAGGTATCATTTTGCTGTTAATAATATCATACATGTTCAATCACATAGATCACTTTATATATTCTATGTTTCCTAGGTTAAATAGTTTGGTTTTACCAATTGCTGCCATCTACAAAAGATAATTGTACTGATTGTATAGTTCCTGTCTATATATTTAATAAAATTTTCATAGTTACTTGTCAAAAAAAAAGTTGTTTGGTTGTAGGATGAGTCCTACATGTTCCTAGATATTTATTCTCTCTTTTCTAAATGTTTATCATAGATTTCCAACAATTTAACAGTGTTTACATAGTTTTCATAATTTACAAATTTCTGTAAGCTTCTGTGGACTTTGATGAATTAATTCCACACTCACACAGATAAAAATTTACACCAAAACCAAAGTCTAAAACCTTGGTCTCGACCAGTGTAATTATGGCAGCTAGGCAACACCTATGTGTTTTTGAGTCTTTTGACCTAGAAAGGCAAGTTAATGCCTAGGTGACAACAAGGTATCACTTAGTTGAAAAACAAATAAATAACCATTTACATATTTTACAATATGAATGTGTAAGTGTATGGTTACATGCTAATTATGAATTATTAAATTACAAAATAAATCATTAAATGATTTAATGACAACTTATACCTGATTCTCAAAACAAAAGACAAGATTTTTGAATAACCACCCTCAGCTGACAAGATATAAACATAAAGGCAGGGATTTAGAGCTATAATTTTTAGTTCAAAAATACATTGATAAGGATATAAAATGAGCTGTACACACTCATCAATATATAAAAGGAGTCATAATATGCCTAATTGGTGAAACTTTGATCTTTGCAGTCAACCTAGCTATACACAACCATAACCATAAGAAATTCAACCATAAGCAAGCAAGAGAAAAAAATGGATACCTAGTAGTGTATGCTGGCACTGGCATCTGTACAAAAACTGTGTTTGCAGTAATAGTTGAGGAGAAGTCAGCACGTATCTTAAGAATCACCTCAGCCTAAATGATGAAGTGTTGAAACTTGATCCAGATTAGAAGATATACATAGCCAAATTAAGAACATTGTTAAGAAAAAAGATTATATTCACCTTAAGGGGACCTGCTTCTTCAATCAAAGCATTGATTCGAAAAGGGGGCCTAAATTCCTGGGTCATACGGTAATTCATCACAGTGAATTCACCATCAGGAGGTACCTATAAAATAAAAGGATATAACAAGTTATCAGAGTCAGAAATGGAAGTGTCACTTCATCTAAAACACAAATTTCAGACCTACAGATACAGTATCTTAATTCTACTCACCAAATTCAAAGTTCGGTCTATGTCAAAACTATCAAGATGTACAGATTCATGGAAATTACAATCATCTAGCATCACTGATCCTCCTCCAGCAGAACTAGTATAATCTGTTGCATGAAACAGCACTAATGACAAAATTCTATGCAAAATATGAAACTATCACTAGAATCATTTATTGAAGAAATGAACATCAGATAGAGGACAAAGTCATAGCCAATGGTAAAACATATGCTTGAACAAGAAAAAGATGGACCATACTCCTCCCTCAGCAAACCTAAAAAGAGACTGTTAGACCTTTTTATAGTTTAGAAGAAATATGACATGTGAGTATTAAAGCTCAAAATTTTTCTTAATTCAAGTATGTTGGCACTAATGTAAAAGCATCAGTATCAAGGAAAAACAATTCTCAAATTCTATCAGTGACATATATCTGCAGTCTATTAGATGGTAAACCCAGAGAAATACCATATATGGACCTCCCTCCTCTTCCTATGCTAAGGTCTTCATTAAGAGCTAGACGGATTTCTGGGTTGCCAGTAAGATAACTCTTCATTTGGATAGTTCCATCGATTTCAGAAGTAAGTATATAACCCTGTTTAACAAATATTAGACCACATAAGCCATGGTTTACACAAAAGAAAGGATGAACCAAAAGAAAATTACATAAATGAATTAACCAAGAAAACTAAATGACCTTGACAACCATTCTAAAACTATTGAACAAGATGTATCGAAACATATTCTAAAAAGTGGAATCAAAAGGAAGATTATCAAGAAAACACATTATCAACCAAATATGCGTATCATGTACAGAAAATTTCTCAGAAACACATAAAAAAGGTGAATCCTGATAGAAAGAGGTATGCATGAGAAAGGTTCTATTTTTATATTAATTTGTTGTCTCAAAATGATAAAGTTCTTAATTCCTAGAGTATAGTTGGAGCATATTTCATGAATTTTTGACCATCCTCCCTACCTTCATGCAACATATAAGACATGATGTTATTTATGGCTCCAACATGAAGTTTTGGGAAGATATTTGGTGGGGAAACTCTACTTTTCTTCAAGCCTTCCCCAGAAAAAACCTTCTAATTCCAAAAATGAACTTGTTTCTGAAATGGTGTCCTTTGATGGGACATGGTTGGCTTGGAATTTGGGTTTGAGAGTTGCTTTGAGGGAACAAGAAATAAGTGAGATGACCTTCTTGCTTATACACTTCAAGAGGTGAACCTGTGTCCTGGGGGGAGGGGGTGAATGGGAGACTGTGGGAACCAAATATCAATGGCACTTTTGCTTGTGCTTCTTTTTTTTCAATGATTCTACTAACCAGTTGACACAAACCCTTTCTCGGTAAAAGAATTATGAGGTGGTCCTATCCTTCCTAAGGTGAAGGTTTTTTGCTGGGAAGTAGCCAATCATGTTATTAACACCTCTGATAGACTACAGAGGAAGCGGACAAACTGGTGTCTCGCATCTCATGTGTGCATCCTCTGTTTGAGAAGTGGGGAAAGCACTACCATCTCCTCTTGCATTGCACCTATGCTTCCCAGGTAATGGGAACATCTCTTTTCTTTGGTTGGATGTACTTGGGTAGCACCAACAGAAGGGAACTTTTCAGCACAAATAGGGTGAGATGTACGACAAGAGAAAAAAAAATCATGACATTGTGTACATGAAGCTGTCATATGGGGTTTGTGGAATGAAAAAAATGCTAGAATTTTTATTAGGAAAAGAAGGGCTGAGGAGCTGATTGAGCTCACTGTCATAAGAGTTGCTCATTAGTCGTTGGTATGTGAAGACTTCAGGGGAATTACAATAAATGATCTTTTAAGAGGATGGAAAGTTGTAACTGACTTCCAAATTAGGAAACCTGAAACATTGGTTGGATGGATTGCACCAACAGTGGACAAAACCAAATTTAATTTTGATAGATGCTGCCTTGGAAATCCAGGAGAGTCAGGCATTGGGGGTGTAATTAGGAAACAAAATGGACAGATACTTCTCAGTTTTTCTGGCCCGATTGGTTTTAGTAATTCTCTAAGAGATGAGTTGCAGGCTTCACTTCAGGGGCTAAATTTGTTGGCTATGCAAGGGGTGGAAGAAGTGGAGGTGGAAGGAGATTTTGTCAAACTGTAATTTGTTGGATGAGTTCTAAGACATAATTCCATAGGTATTCAGACCAATGGTGAGATAGGCACAATTAGGGGTGATCATGGGCTGGGCCTGGGCCTGATTCTGGGCCTATGAATTTTATGTATAAATATACAATAATTTATATTATATGTCATATAATATGTATAAAATTAATTTTATACATTATATAGTATAAAATATATATAGGTGTCATACTGTCATGTATAATATTATTTTTTGTCAATAGTCACATTTAATATTTATATATAATATAAAATATAGCATGAAATAGCATATATAAATATGTATAAATAATATATATGTAAATATGTACAGGCTGGGCTGGGTCTGGGCCTGGGCCAAGCTGAAAATGATCACCCCTAGGCACAACCTATGGCCACCAATTTGAATAACTCGTTCAACTGGGTACCTAGGTGTACCAATGAATTAGCAGACTCACTTGCAAGGGCAGAGGTGGGAAGAAATCAATTAGAATGGGGGTGTCCAGAGATCCGAATTCTTAGAGTTTGCTTATTTCTCAGAGCAAGCCTTGTACAGTTTGACAAAAAACAACAAAAAAACAAATAAGCATGTTTGTTTTAGAGTTTGCTTAAAACAACAAAAATCAAATAAGCAAACTCTAAGAGATTTCAATGACACAGAAAATAAAGCATGCAGACTTCCTACAAAAATTAAAAAAAAAAAAAATCACAAGTCCAAAGAAAAAAGAATGTAATAGATAGCAATTGTGGCTCTGTTTTCTTAGGTTACTTCATAGTTTAGTCATTGCTTCAGTATGACTGATATGAGTGAATCCTATAAAGGAAAGTTTTTCCCAACTTGTCAACAGAAGAGAACTTATCATATGTGAATCAAACAAACTCCAATGAGAATGAAGCGAATTTCATGAATTATTTCCATTTGGTGCTTGCTCCATATTGAGATCAGTGTCTTTTAAGTATTGATCATCACTGAACCAAAAACTTGCATAATGCATTTAAAAGAATCCCAGTTTGAATGGAAATGCCACCTGCCCAACATGTTGGTATTTCTGCTCCACATTATTTTTAGGATGTCCATAATACACTCTTTAGCCATTATATTTTTAACGTATCAAGAAACTTAGAAGTATTCATAAATGTAGCATCACTAGAAGAAATCTCATGAAATGTGTCATAGACGAAAGTGAAAATACTCACACTAGAACTGAAGGTGACACTTATTTTCTCAATTATGTCTACAAATATTTCCTCCCTCTTCCTACCCCCAGGTTCATTTGCTACAACAGATTTTGTAACAGCTGTCCCTGGCATTTTTTTTGTTCCTTGCTGCAGACATTCAATGATTGGAAGACAATCAAAAATTTGCTCAGATCTACATTAAAAATAAGTCTTTTGTGGTACTATATATTTTAGAATACAATTGATCGGATAACCTAAAATACCATAAAAATGGCAGCAGCGCCAAGGGATGGCAAACGTGCAGCATCAACCATAATTGGTTCATTAAATACATAGGACTTTAAGACTTCAGTAGATGTTGTTTGTACATATCCAAAATCCTGCACAACCAAAGGGAATTGAAGTCATATCTACTTATCCAATAAAATTAACAAAAGGACCATCATTGAAACATCAACAAATGATTTCAGCTACATTGTAGTTCTCATATACTTGTACAATAAAATATACAATTTGTCAAAATTTCTCATGATAATATGATATATTAAATTTCCAAACACATTTAACTTATCAGAAATGAACCACGAACTGAAAAGAGAAGCAATTCTTTTGAAATTTCGCGATATTTTTTAGGAGAGGCAAAGAAAATAATAAAATTAAGTGTAGAAGTGGCAAACATGATTCTCTAGAAAAGGAGAAATAATATTGCCAAAATATGTTTTTGTTAAAGCCAAGGGATCTGCGTAAACCATAAACACAATCACCGCATCAGTTATGGCCTTCCAATAGGTTTTTCCCTGCAAAAGAAGATTCATCAATTTCCACTGGTTAAACAGATCTCCGATGCTTCCTGGAAAAGCTCATCCCTGTCCAGGTCCACAGAGAACTGCAAGAGGCATCCAATGATGGCACAATTGATGAGGGGATGTGAAGCGGCCTTGTCATCCTTAGGCACAAAAACATGAAGGGAGATGTATGGGTGCCCAACCCTTTTCTTGCCACTGAACACAAGTATATACCTGCCACATATACCTTCCTATATGAATAGGGAACCCTAGATGGAAAAGATAAGACAAAGTCTTCTCTCAGTGAAAGGATACCAGGATTAGTTATGATGGCTGAGAATAAGGATCAGGCAGAAAAGGCTCCTGTATGGTCAAAAAGGGAGGGGGAGATGTGAAGGCATAGCACAAAACCATTTTCAAACTCCCACAAATAGCCACTGGGATAGAATCATCTGGACTACCATCCACAGTCTTTTTCAGAAGCTTTAACTTTAGTCACTTCTACAGCCACTGGGATAGAATCATTTGGGATGAAAACTTTGTCTTATGACCTGCTCTCTGTTGTCTCATTGTGCTGTTTGTGTGGTTAATCTCGATGCTTTTGTATTAGAGGAATCTCTCCCTTAGCTTTTACTTTCCATCTTAATAAAAATTTCATTTTCACCTTTCAAAACAAAACTCCCACAAATAGCAGAAAAATAGAATAATAGAAAAAAAAGGAACAAATAGATGCTTCAACGGAGAAATAGCTTCTCTCTTCCAGAGTTAAGTATGGATTCACATCAAACTCAGTGAGAAGCCCTCAGTGGAGTCACACCAAAGAAAAAGGTTCTTGAGTCACTGTTGTGGATGCTTTTACAGCCGCTAACAGCAGCAGTAATGGGCGATTAATTCAGAGTTTAATGGACAGCAGCAGTAATGGGCGATAAACTCAGTGTTCTCATCTTATCTAATTCAGTGTTCTCATCTTATCTAATTCAGTGTACTCGTCTTATCTAGCTAGATACAGTTCTATCTTATCTAGTAGGAAGTCTTATCTTATCTAGTAGGGAGTCTTATCTGTTCAGTGTTCTTATCTAAATTCAGTAGTATAGATCAGTAGGAAGTCCTCCTAAAAATGAGATTCTTATCTTCTTGTAATCTCCTATTTAAAGGAGCTAATGATATTCAATAGAGGCATCGAAATTCTCAGTCAAGACAGAGTAGAGGAGAGTTGGTGATCTCTTGAACAAATCACCATTAAGGCGCCAAGATAGGTTCCTCAAGAAAAGGGAGGAACAAGGGAAAACAGGAGGTTTTCCCCGTGGACTGACCCGTGACGAGATCCTATTCGCGGGCCCTTAGCAGTCACACCCAAAGAAAATAACAAAACAAAACTCCGTGCAAATCTTAGTAATTAAATGTGTCAACTACCCAAAAAAGAAATACAAAGAGTGCTATCATCATATATAGGAAACTTTCCTTAACATCCAGGAAATCATATAATTAGGTACTAATTATAAATTGGACTAACTTTGGAATTCATGAATGACTCGTGAAAGCCTTCTAGATATTAGACTTTTTGACCTATTGCAAGTTTAGCATAAATTTCTAATAAATAACTTCTAAAACAAAGACATACTAAAACAATTCTTAAAAATACTATAACTCGAAAAATCAAAATGATTCAAAGGAAAAAATAGAACCCATCAAAACCCTGTCAGCAGTCTGAAAATCAGTTGTTAGTCACTTAATCCTTGTCTAAGCCACATGATATTGATCATGTTAGATAAGTGACTGTATAACCTCTAACAACAGGATCAAAACAACCAGACTAGCTTGATCCTTGTATTTTTCTTGCAGAAAAGAACCAAGGCTACACAAGAGAAACTGAGAAAGCTACATATAATTAGCATGCTAAACGACTCAACAGTTAAGAGATAAAGAAACAGGGAACTGAAGGTTGAGCATTATTGGTCTGAAACCCTAAATATACCAATTAAGTTGAAGAGAAAGAATTAGCAAATTAGAGGGATAAGTGGCAGGACTTAACTCGTCAAAAGGCTCCCTTTATAAAAGAAAAGGACAGAATGAAAAGAAACTCACAATTACTTCATCAAGTAACTCGTACACAAGGACGAAATTCTTTCGTAAGGAATCTTCATTGAGAACCCCAAGGTAGTCTTTGATTACACGTGCAATTCTTTGTAAGAGCTCCAAAACAAGAGAAGGAGAGACATTACCTCTTGTGGTTGCAACAAATAATAGGCCAGCAACCTTCACATGAAAGTAATTCACAGAATCCACATTCTATCAACAAGAAAAACAAGGAAGTGAATAAGGTATCAGTACATTTTATAGGAAGAAGAGATAAAAAGATGCTATATGATTTACTAACTAGAAGATGATAAAGGATCACAGACGCAGAAAATAAGTGAAATTGAAAAGACACAAAATAATAGATAAATCATAAATGAACCAAACAAGAATATGAATGAAAATGATTATAAGGAGTTAATGTAACAGATAATCAGACAGTAATGTGATATACAGAACTGAGAGCCACCATGTAATACTACTCTCTAAATATCAAATACATAGCCAAATGGAAAAAATAGCTAGAGTCCTGATTTTCTTAATAAAAAATAAGTTCTATACTATAAAGTGAGCTTTTAGTTTATCTATGTAACATGGATGTAGATTTTCAGAATCCAACAAAGATATCATATAAGGTCTCCAACTCAGCAAGACCGAATACATGGGCATAATTCAATTCTCAAACATTGTGTTTCATAAACCATAGATACACTTTTGTGTTAAAGAGAAATGGAATAACTGATAGAACGTAGAATAAATAAAATGCAGAAGCACAAACAAATGCAAACTATAAACAACTGAAAATATAATAATTGTTTGCCCAGGTGCTTGTTGTACTGTATTGGATTGTTTCTGTTCAGCAATAAAATTAACTTTACATTTCTCAAAAAAAAATACAATAATCAGTTACATTAAATTTTGTCAACTATTTACAGTAAGACAGGCATTTCAAACTCATGCTCTCAAAGCCTTATACATTGTGTGCATCAAAATCTTCTCCATACAAGACTATTCCATCTATAACAATACCCCTTTAAAGTCAAAGCATTCATCTGAAATGGTGACATTTAATACAAACAATACTTATGAAATCTTTGAAAAAAAACTTATGAAGCCTTTTTTTCAAAAAAAAAAAAATATTTATGAATTCTTGATGCCATTCAGGGAAGAGAAAACAAGTATCTTTCTCCTCATAGTGTCATAGTTGCTTGATATGTCCAACTGTCCAAGAGATGGTGAAAAAACAAAACATCCAGTTCTTCATCTATTATGGACAAAGGAGGATGGTTGTAACATATCCTGAAATCTCAACCATGTTGATATTTAAGTACATATACTCAACAATATATTAGATCTTTTATTCCAGTAGGGAGGAGCTTGCTAATGCCAAGTAACATAATAAAGTTTGTTACATTTTTTTATGTGACTCTGAGGAGTATTTGGGCAGAGAGATAGATAATTTTTTTCTTTTCTGAGTTCCTCCTATCATCAATGAGGTGAACTTGATGATTTCTTATTAGGCTTTGGCCTCAAAAGATACAAGAGTTTCTAACAAAACAAAAAACTCTGTTTCAAATACCTGAATATAGTAGTGCACCCCCTCTCCCCTTTACTGTTAACATCCAAAAGATGTATAGGATATGCAAGCAGGAAGTAAAACTGAAATTTGATGGGTACCTTTCAGGGGAGTAGTCTCTTTTTCCAGATTATTTGTAATGAGTCATACATAAAACTATAAAAGGTGGAGCTTTCAATCTTTTGAAAATTTTTACTGTGAAAAGCTGCACTCCGGATCCAGTGTGTTTGGACTCGAAGGGATTTTCTCTTCGAGTCCAATTATATTTCAATGTGAAGATGACTGATTGTCAGGGGGAGCCATTAGAAGACCCTACAAGGTATCGGAGACTAGTAGGCAAGTTGATCCACCTTACCATCACTAGGCTTCACATCTCCTTTAGTGTTGGAGTCCTCAGTAGGGTACTCAGATGTATCTAAAGGGTGCTCCTGGTTGAGGGCTTTTGTATAAGAAAGGGGGAGATATGTCTCTAGTAGGGTACTCAAATGTAGATTGGGCAGGGTCTCCGATGAACAGGAAGTCTACTACAGGTTATTGTACTTTCTTGTGCGGAAATTTCATTACTTGGAAGTAGACCTGTTCATGGGCCGGGTGGCCCGACGGGCTGGCCCGGCCCCCGGACGGGCTTGAACAGGCATTTTGGCCCACGGGCTTAACCTCGGGCCAAAAAGCCCAGCCCGCATAAAATTCGAGCCAGGCTCGGGCTTTGCCAAAATAGCCCGGCCCGAGCCCGACCCGGCCAGACCTATAGTTAAACCTAAGTAAAAACCCTATGTGATGTCCATTTGAATAATTTTTTTGATTCAAGGTTGTTGATTCACTTGTAGGCCCATTGTTCATTTAAATAGGGGAAAAAAACATCTGAATTAAAATAGATAATGTTCATTTGAATAGGGAAAAATTCGAATTTCTTTTATTAGGTCGGGCTTCGGGCTTTTTATCAGGGGCGGGCTCGGGCCCAAGTTGTAGGCCCGTTGGTCGGGCCGGGCTCGGGCTCGGCCCTAACATTTTTCTGTTAATAAAGAGTAAAAGCCCAGCCCGGCCCATGAACAGGTCTACTTGGAAGAGCAAAAAGCAGAACATAGTTGCTAGGAGTAGCACTAAAGCTGAATACAAGGCAATGGCCCATGCTACCTATGAGCTAGTCTGGTTGAAGCATCTTCTTCGGGAGATGAATATCACAATTTGCCAACCCATTAAATTGTTTTGTGACAACCAAGCTACAATACATATTGCCTCTAATCCAGTGTTTCATGAAAGGACTAAACACATTGAAGTTGATTGCCATTTCGTGAGAGATGTTGTAAGGCTTATTTAATTATTATATAGTTGTTGTTAGTAGGCTGACTTCTTAAGATACTGTCAGTTAGTTACTTGTCCTTTTTTTTTCTTATTAGTTTGGTTCTAGGGTGTGCCGCCAGAGGCATACTTGTAATTTCTATTCTTTTTATTAAGTTAATATAAATAGAAAACTGGCGGCAGCCAGCAAGATCTTTTTCCCTCTCAATCGTATCTCCCTTTCTTCTCTTTCTCTCTCTCTCTCTCTCTCTCTCTCTCTCCCTCTCTCCCCCACTCTTCATGAATGATTACATGGTATCAGAGCAGGTTTTCTAGGCTGTAAAAGACCTACGATCCCTCCTGTTTTGAGCAAGGTTTCCTTCTTTAAAAATCTTGCACGTGGAAGACAGGGAAACCCTAGTAGGTTACTGGTGGAAACCCTAGCAGATTTCTGGCGGCACTTCCTATGGTTTTTCCTTGGTCGTAATACCAAGGAAACCCTAATCAAAGAAGGGTGATGCTGATAGAGACTCCCTTCCTTCTCTGTTTGATGCTGCGAAGTCGATTTCAGGTTAGCACCTTCGTACAAGTGCTAGACAGGTGTGTTCTTGTTTTTGTCTTCTTTGGCCGATGGTGTGTAGAGCTTATTCCTTGGTTATATATATATTGGTTTGGATGTTGGATTGTTAGACTGTATGAACTGCAGCCGGACTAATAGTAGTGTCTGCCTTGGTTGTGTTGAACTGATTACCAGGCTGGTTTAATGACTGAACCATCTCAGAGTTTATTTCAGCAGTGTCTTGTTCTCTTCCTCACATCCTAGAAGTAAATTCCTTTAGGGTATCGGTGTTTTGATCCTGTTAGTCGTAAGGTTTTTGTGTCTATGGATGTGTCCTTTGAGTCTGAGCCATTCTTCCCTGCTTCTCCTCAGGGGGAGAGTAGTAGTGTGGAAGAGGAGAAGCAGGTTCAGGTATCTCTTCCTTCTATTCCGGACCTTGCTCCCTTCTGTGTCTTCCAACGTACACGTCATAGAGATCAGCGGTGTGATAGAGATATGGAGTAGCCAAACACTGAGCAACCGACACCATTAGACTCCCAGGAGGTAAGTCCACTCCCTAACCCTACTCCTACTGTGGATGACCTTGACATTCCTATTGCCCAACGAAAGGGAGTCAAGTCATGCACTACCAAACACCCCATTACCCATTTTGTCTCCTATGATCACATTTCCCCCTCATACCGAGCCTTCCTATCTACAATTGATTGCATCCCTGTTCCCAGAAATGTTGCAGAAGCCTTAAAATGCCCTGAATGGACAGATGCCATGAAGGAGGAGATTAATGCTCTTCACAAAAATCAAACTTGGGAATTGGTGGATCTTCTAAAGGGGAAAGACCCCGTGAGGTGTAAATGGGTGTTCACGGTTAAGCACAAGGCTGACGGAACAGTTGAAAGGTACAAAGCAAGATTAGTAGCCAAAGGGTACACACAAGTATACGGGGTTGACTATGATGAGACTTTTGCTCCAGTAGCTAAGATGAACTCAATTAGGGTTCTCCTGTCCTTAGCTGCTAATCTTGATTGGGAATTGCATCAACTTGACATAAAGAATGCTTTTCTGAATGGTGACTTAGAGGAGGAAGTATACATGGTTCAACCCCTTGGATTCTGTGCCAAGGGAAGTGAAGATAAGGTGTGCAAGCTGCAAAAGTCTCTTTATGGCTTAAAATAGTCTCCCAGAGCCTAGTTCAGTAAGTTTCACATGGCGGTTCAATAGATGGGCTTCAAACAATGTCAATCTGATCATACATTTTTTGTGAAGAGATGTCAGGAACAGGCTGTTGTATTGATAGTGTATGTGGATGATATCATCATTACAGGAAGTTGGAGYTCAGATATACAAAAATTGAAACAATTCCTTGCATCTAAATTTGAAGTGAAAGATCTAGGTCCCCTGAAGTATTTCCTTGGGATTGAAGTTGCCTGCTCAGAAAAAGGTATCTTTATCTCTCAAAGAAAATACACCCTTGATCTATTACAGGATACAAGCAAATTAGGTGCAAGGCCGGCAGATACTCCCATGGATGTTGACCACAAGTTAGGTGACTGTGTTGGTGAACCTCTGAAAGATGTGAAACGGTTCCAAAGGTTAGTGGGAAAGCTAATTTATTTGTTCATGACCCATCCAGGCATTGCCTATTCCGTTGGGGTCCTAAGCCAGTTCATGCACTCCTAAGAAACCACACATGAAGGCAGCAAAGAGAGTTCTTAGATACTTGAAGAAATATCCCGGAACAGGTCTACTATTCAGTAAACACAATCACCTAAAGGTGGAAGTCTTTACAGATGCTGATTGGGCAGGAGTTGTGGATGACAGAAAGTCCACAAGTGGGTATTGCACATTTGTGGGAGGAAATCTAGTGACCTAGAAAAGCAAGAAACAAACTG